ATAACACCACCAACCAGGAAGGACTGCTTTGCAAATTAAATCAGAGAATGCATGCCAAACGTTCCCAGTGTGTGGCCCCAAATAAGCCCACCATGAATGAGCTATTATCTCTGCCACTGTTACCGCTATTAATATTCCTTTCTAAACAACCACAGACAGACTAGGTTGAGGAGTTGGTCATGAGTAATCAGAACCTGCTTGCTGACGACTGAGATTATGCCTGGTCTGAGGTTAGCTTGGTTTCCAAGTGCCACCACTCTTCTACCAGAGCCCAGAGGAATGCCTGGGGCTTTGCGGGCTCTGGTTGCACGTGCGTTGAGTGAAAAAGGGGGTAAGTGAAAGATGAAGGACTAAACGTTGAATGTCATAGAAGCTGAGGCTGGGCCCTGAGTTGAGGCTTTCTGACATTTCTGGCAAGTGACAGCTACTTCCAACTGCCAGGCACTGCGCAGGGCCCGTGGTGGGGCTCCCCCAGGTTGGCTGGCTGGGAACATCAACTAACTGTTCTAGGAGATAGCACCGGGCCTGCACTTCCTGATGGAGCAACTCTCATGAAAGACTCCGGCCTCAGAAAGAGACCTCAAGGACTCAGGTCACTTGCTTGCTCCAGAAAGAGCCTTGGAGACCAAACTTTTTAATAGTTTTAAAGCAGAGTGAGAAAGTAGGAGAAACATGGGAAGGACTGGGCACTGGGCAGTGTCATGGGGTCAGCGCCAACAAGCACCATTCGACCAGCTGGCTCACATTCCCCTCCCTCACTTCCTTCTGCTTGGAGAACTGTCAGAGAAATGTCCTTGACAGAGCCTAACCCACAGACAGCTTGTCATTCACGAGTTCTCCAGATTCACTAGTTCTGGAGCCATTTGCGTAATTATCTTATCCTTGGCACCTCTTGCACTAGAATAAACTTAATCCTAGTGTTTAAATCAACTCAAAGAAGAAAAAAATAAATGAAGTTATTTATTAATGAAATTTAAGCCACTATGTTACATGAGAAGCCAGTACTGCTTGCCCTAAATCTAAGCTAATTGTAAAAATAAACGGTTGGCAACAAAATATTCTAACTAAAATATAGCTAGGATCTACTCCCCCACTCCAATTTCTCTCTCTCTGTTAGAAAGGGAGATCAGCATGTATGGCTTCAAAAAATACCAGCCAGGGCCAGCAGAGGGCATAGTGCTTACTTCACTGGACTCCCACATGGCCAACTGCGGTTTGAGGCCCATGACTGGTGACTTGAAAATCACACCAGGTATGTGTGCATGCATGCCCAATATCCCATGAGGAGAATAGAGGAAAAGGGATTGTGGTGTGGACATTCCCCTCCGGAGGCTGATTTCTTACTTTCCCTTTCACTGTCACTGTTGCATGAGCCCTCAGCCTGCCACAGAGTGGAGGCACACTTGAGCCAGAGCACGAGTGAGGGAATGAACGTGCACAGGATGGGGGCCTGCTAGGGCTCGGGCTCGCTCCTACGCAGGCTTTGAAATGGTATAGGAAACAGGGCATCCACGTGGAATTTAAATTTCAGGGTTTTCCCTCTCCTCAGTCCAACAGCACACAGGGAGATTGGTTCTGCACTGGCAGCCCTGCTTTCATTTGTCATTATGTTTTACACACACGGAAATTTTAATGTCTAAAGATGGGAGGTGATGATAAGAATAGACTTACACATGTTTTTTGGCAGCCCAGTCACCGGCACTTAAATTCACTTCTGACAGTTCTCAGAATCGAAAGACCTGTAAGTACTAAACTGTCATCTGCCTATCCATGAGAGATTTCACTCTGGCAGGATTTCAAAAGTAAAATCACTCGCTTTTTTATGCATATTTTCGCCACCACAATATTTCTCTAAGCCATGTAAAATCCTGTACTCTCAAGAGACAGATACAAAGAGGTTTGTGCTGCAGAGTGTTCTAAAAGGAGAATCGCCCTTGTTTCGGAGCCTAAAAGTACAACAATTCAAAGTCGCTTGTTAAAATTGAGGATTAGGGCAAAATGGGGGATAGCTTCCTCCGAGAGCCTGAGCTGCGTGATTACAAAAGGCACTTGATTTGAAGATTTCCGAACTGCTTAATGGTTAAAAACTAATGATCCCGGGAAGACATGGAAGATGACCCTGCTATGTAAGGATTGGCACTCCTCAGCAAAGCCGCTCCCTTCCTTCGCGGTCTGACCCGGGTCCGAGAGGCAGACGGTACTGGCGATGAGCGTGAGATCTTCCTAAACAGTCAGGCATCCAGAGAGGACAGAGGCAGAACTAGACCTAAAACCAGCCTCTGCCACCAACCTGCCAAGAGACCCTAGGAAAGTCACTCAAGGTCTCTGAGTCTCCAATTTCTCCCCATTTAAGATAAAAGAGAGTGGGGAACAACACATGGCATAGTGATTAAAGCGCTAGACTCCCACATGGCCAGCTGCAGTTCAAGTCCCAGATCCAGCAGCTTGAAACTCATGCTAGGTGTGTGTGCATATTTGGCCAAAATCCCACAAGGAGAATAGAGAAGAAGGAATTGTGGCACAGCCATCCCCCTGGTGGGTGATTTCTCACTTTCTCTCTTTCTGTCTCCCCAGTGAGTACACATGCCCTATAGCAAAAATTTCTCTTTAAAAAACACAACAACAAAACAAAAAAACAAACAAGTAAAAAAGGTAAGAGAGAGTGTGGGGCCAGCAGGTGGCATGGTGGTTAAGGTGCTGGACTCCCACATGGCCAACTGTGATGTGAGTCTCAGACTGGCTGCTTGTTCTCTCAATTTCCCTCTTCCTCTCTCTCTTTGGTGAGAGAGAGAGAGAGATTTGCCCTATAGCAAATTTAAAAATAATAATAAAAGTTATACAAATAAGTGATTTTTTTAAATTTTAAAATAAAAGAGAGTAGACCATGGTAACTGAGTAGGAGCCCTGGAGTGACCAACCGCACAGGACCTCAGCCCCGCCACCTACCATGTGCCTTTGAATAAGCTATGCATCCTCTCTAGCCTAACCTCCTTGTCTGTATGATAGGGGTTATAACACCACCAACCAGGAAGGACTGCTTTGCAAATTAAATCAGAGAATGCATGCCAAACGTTCCCAGTGTGTGGCCCCAAATAAGCCCACCATGAATGAGCTATTATCTCTGCCACTGTTACCGCTATTAATATTCCTTTCTAAACAACCACAGACAGACTAGGTTGAGGAGTTGGTCATGAGTAATCAGAACCTGCTTGCTGACGACTGAGATTATGCCTGGTCTGAGGTTAGCTTGGTTTCCAAGTGCCACCACTCTTCTACCAGAGCCCAGAGGAATGCCTGGGGCTTTGCGGGCTCTGGTTGCACGTGCGTTGAGTGAAAAAGGGGGTAAGTGAAAGATGAAGGACTAAACGTTGAATGTCATAGAAGCTGAGGCTGGGCCCTGAGTTGAGGCTTTCTGACATTTCTGGCAAGTGACAGCTACTTCCAACTGCCAGGCACTGCGCAGGGCCCGTGGTGGGGCTCCCCCAGGTTGGCTGGCTGGGAACATCAACTAACTGTTCTAGGAGATAGCACCGGGCCTGCACTTCCTGATGGAGCAACTCTCATGAAAGACTCCGGCCTCAGAAAGAGACCTCAAGGACTCAGGTCACTTGCTTGCTCCAGAAAGAGCCTTGGAGACCAAACTTTTTAATAGTTTTAAAGCAGAGTGAGAAAGTAGGAGAAACATGGGAAGGACTGGGCACTGGGCAGTGTCATGGGGTCAGCGCCAACAAGCACCATTCGACCAGCTGGCTCACATTCCCCTCCCTCACTTCCTTCTGCTTGGAGAACTGTCAGAGAAATGTCCTTGACAGAGCCTAACCCACAGACAGCTTGTCATTCACGAGTTCTCCAGATTCACTAGTTCTGGAGCCATTTGCGTAATTATCTTATCCTTGGCACCTCTTGCACTAGAATAAACTTAATCCTAGTGTTTAAATCAACTCAAAGAAGAAAAAAATAAATGAAGTTATTTATTAATGAAATTTAAGCCACTATGTTACATGAGAAGCCAGTACTGCTTGCCCTAAATCTAAGCTAATTGTAAAAATAAACGGTTGGCAACAAAATATTCTAACTAAAATATAGCTAGGATCTACTCCCCCACTCCAATTTCTCTCTCTCTGTTAGAAAGGGAGATCAGCATGTATGGCTTCAAAAAATACCAGCCAGGGCCAGCAGAGGGCATAGTGCTTACTTCACTGGACTCCCACATGGCCAACTGCGGTTTGAGGCCCATGACTGGTGACTTGAAAATCACACCAGGTATGTGTGCATGCATGCCCAATATCCCATGAGGAGAATAGAGGAAAAGGGATTGTGGTGTGGACATTCCCCTCCGGAGGCTGATTTCTTACTTTCCCTTTCACTGTCACTGTTGCATGAGCCCTCAGGTAAAAACCTCTTAAAAAAAATATTAAAAACAAAAATAAAAACATACCCTAACTAAGGCCTCCTTCTAGCAACTTGAAAGACTGAAAAAGAATGAAAACAGGAGTGTGCTTGTCACTTTGAGAGTCTACGATTTGGAGTGGTGTCCATGCACATCATGTCTTTACAGGCTTCTTAGCTCTTCCCAGGGCTCTGAATTTCAGCCCTCCCACCCCCCCCTCCCCCGCGGGACTAGACAACTGAGATCATCTGTTCCTGAACGCAGTTCAAATATACTTCTCCTGGACGCTGAGATGCACAGCAAAATGTCCACGATCAGGATGCATCTTGCAACTGCCTGGCTTTTATTAGCCACTTTTACTAGTGCTTTAATAGTGTCTCCCTTTTATTTTCATCTGGGAAGCTGTTATTAGATTGATGACACATCTCATAATGAGGGTGACTTAGAATCAAGGAACTACGGTCCACCTTAACAGGGCCAATACAAATGAGCCTCTTGTTCGGATGCCAACACAACACAACAGCCTTGCGTTCGCCCGATCGTGCTCATCTGATAAAGACATTACAATAGCAAGAAATTATGATCTATAACCCTCCACTGGAACACTCACACATTCTTGGCCTTGAACGCTTCAGCAAAATGCTGCACGCTGCGGAGCAGAGCGAGGTCCAGGGTCATTGCTTCTACCTTGGCTTTATGCTGGAAGGAAAGAAAATAAAAAGAAATGATAAATAACAGCAAGTTTAGTTCATGGTATCAAGTTACAGTAAATGTGTTATGGAACATGTCGGAATTCCCCTGTTTAATATTAGACGCCCAGAGAGAATATAAATCATGGGAATGAATGGAAGAGCAGGGCTTTTACTGCCAAGTTCAGGGAGGATGGAAAACTGGGACTCTGCTAAACCTGCAGGCTTGGGCCTGTGCTGTTTCCCTCAGCAAGCGAAACAGGCTCCAAACCTCTTCAGGCTAACGCACTCTCCTCTCCATCTGCATCCTAAAAAGCTGAAACATAGGGCAGGGGAACACCAGGACAGAACTTGGCTTGGCCAACCATGTGGTAGACATTTATTCTCAAAAGTTGCTATCCAGTTCTGGAAGGTTTCCACCAAGCCTATATCGAAAACTAAGACGATGCATTAATACAAAGTACAAAAGCAGGCAAGGCTCATTTCTACCAGAGAACCCTGACTTGGTATGCCAGAAAATTCTCCAGGAGACAGGTGAGGTGCATGTCACAACGGGGATGATCTACGCAGAGCCTACCATGGCCTGAGACTTTATATGCACCATCTCATTTAATCCTCACACGTGAAAGACAAGAATATGGTTTCTATTTTACAATGTGCGTCTTACAAGAGATGATCTAAGGAAAGGGTGCAGGTGAGGATCGATCCCTAGTTAGCTGGACACTAAAGACCAAGTTTCCTCCAAGCAGGAAACCAAAAGCTCTGAAGAGGTCAGGATTTGAAATAATCATGCCCCATCCACTATGTTCTTTGCAGCATAATGCTGGAAGACTACATCTCAGGGCTGCCCTTCTGACTTGCCTTGTGTTTATAAGGTACTCCCAGTTTTGAAGTCTAGGTAGACTTCAGATTATGAGATTAAATACTACCACCTCTGGACCTCGCTCTCCCAGAGCAGGTAGAGCCAACAGCTCTGGGGCCACCAGCCTATTTGGGTAAGAAGCAGACTATAAAATAAATGGGTAACTTGGGAACTCTAGACTTGATTGTGAAGCTTAAGGAAGACTAAGGAGAAACACATGACATCTCTAATGCCATCTGAAGAGAGGCAAACAGCAGAGCTGAGAACACCTTGCATACGGCTCGTCTGATTTGGGGAGGCACACAACTTGCACTGAGATGTTTAGTGTTTCTGCAGCCAGTTTATCTTGGCCACCTAAGTTCTGGGCTGTAACCCAAGCCCTAAGCTTTGAACAATAAATTTCAGGCAGCCATGGCTATAAAGCATGGTGCCTTCGGACCATTAAAATTTTCAGGGTCTCAGTTTCCTTATTTGGAAAATATGAATATTGATTATCTACTGGGAACCAGCAGTTAGCGTAATGGCTATGTCGCTGGACTCCCACGTAGTAGACCGCGGTTCGCGTCCCAGACCCGGTGGCTTAAAACTCATGTCGGGCGCGTGTGCATGCATGCCCAGGATCCCGAGAGGAGAATGGAGAAGAAGGGATTGCGGCATGACCATCCCCCCAGGGGGGGTGATTTCTCTCTTTGTGTCTCTATGTCTCTCTCTGTCTGTCTGGCGAGCACACACGCCCTACAGCAAAAACCTCTCCCCCTGAAAAAATATTGATTATCTACTGATAATGTTGTGAGGGTACGTTAAGCACCTAACACCTTGTCTAAAAGACAGAAGGTATTTATTAAGTTTAGCTAGAAGGAAATGACAGGTCTGTTGTGTCAATTTTTTGCCCTGATGCTACTCAGCAGTAAATGGTCTATGGTGGGCTATGGCAGAGTCTGGTGGAAAAAATGATGGTGATGATATCCAGGGTCCTCCCTGAAGACCACCACCAGCCAGATCACTGAATATTAGATCCTGGAGGATCCAGGTCACATTTACTATCAGATCCCAGACTTAGGGAAAGGTGGTGGAAAGTAATTAAATGATGTCCACAAACCCCACGAGTATGTGAGCAGCAAAGGAGAGACTGGCCAGTGCGGATATAAATTCCTGGTCTGGGATGACAGTGGCAGATACTCAAATGTACTGATTTTGGAAGGAGGAAGAGCATTAACATGATCCAAAGAAAAGGGGGTGGGGGGGCGACTGTCAGTGCTTCAGATTTGTTCGTTTTCTAAGATAAGAAAAAATAGAGGGGCCAGCAGGTGGCATTGTAGTTAGGGTGCTGGACTCCCATACGGCTGACCGTGGTGCAAGGCCCAGACCTGGAGCCTTCCTCACTCTCTCTCTCTTGCTCTGTCTTTCTTTCTCTGGTGAACACAAGTGCCCTATAGTAAATTAAAATAATAATGATAATAAGAATAAAAAAATTAAATAAGTCTTTAAAAAAAAAAAAAAGAAAGACAGTAATAGAGCTGGAAGGTCTCTACTGAGAGGTGAGGTCAAGGCCCTCTTTCTACAAGGAGATTCCACCAGGAGGACGGAAAGAACCAGGAGGAGGGAAAGAAGCCCCACACTGGTCGAGAGTCTGAGCCTCCACGTGAGGGACGACGCCCCATGGGCCTTCTGTCTGAGCAGCTGAAACTTAACCTGAGGGCTGAAAATCTCTTCAGACTGTTAAACCTGCCCATGTCTAACTTGTATTCCCCACAGAGATGAATTTTTCTTAAATAACTTTTTAAATTTTATTATTATATCATTATTTTCAGTTTGCTATAGGGCACATGCACTCACAAGAAAGAGACAGAGAGAGAGAGAGAGAGAGAGAAGGGATGAAGGGATGTGAACAAGCAAGCCGTCAGGTCTGAGACTCAAACCACAGTCGGTCATGAGGAAGTCCAGCACTTCCACTACCACGCCACCTGCTGGCCCACCCAACAGAGATTCTTATGCCTCATAAACACAAGTACTCGATATGACCTGCAGAAATTAGTAAATAAAGTGGCCTTTCGCCCTCCTCCTACCACCTCTGGTCCCCATCTTACGCATGTAAGAGTATGACACTCTACCACTCACAGACTCCTATGTTAGATTGTGGAGGGGATGTCAGAGATCCTTCCTCTAGCCCTCCGTGGACACCTCAAAAGATAGGCAGATGCATATTATAACAATGCATGTATGTATTCCTCCCATAAAGCAGGTAGAGCATTCCCAGATGGTGACTCCAAAGCAATTTTCCAATGAAAATGTCCGCACAGCTCAGCCACCATGTGTTCTTCTCCATGGAACTTGTGATTGGTAAGCTGTCTTTGGCTTTCATCCTTTACTTCAAAACAGAGCACAGGGCTGCCACTATCACTAAGAACAAAATCAGGACATATCCATCGGTGGAGCCAGGGGTCACACGCCATCAAGTAGTTCAACAGACTACTCTACAGCTGTAGGTTACTAGGCTCCTGGGGACAGTGATTCAAGTCCACACACTGTTACTCAGGTAATTCTCCTGCCCAGGTAACAGGTTTCCTGTTTCTGCTACCAACCCTGAGAAAGGTGGAATGCAACACAGTGAGTCTGAAGGAGGAAAAGGAGCTTTTAGAAGTAGAGTGTATGGGGAACCAGCAGTTAGCATAATGGCTATGTCGCTGGACTCCCATGTAGTCAACTGCGGTTCGTGTCCCGGACCCGGTGGCTTAAAACTCACGCCGGGCGCGTGTGCGTGCGTGCCCAAGATCCCGAGAGGAGAATGGAGGAGAAGGGATTGCGGCGTGACCATCCCCCCTGGGGGGTGATTTCTCACTTTCTGTCTCTATGTCTCTCTCTGTCTGGCGAGTGCATGCGCCCTACAGTGAAAAATCTCTCAAAAAAAAAAAAAAAAAAAAAGAAGTAGAGTGTATGAAGGCCAGGAGGCAGAATGGTGGCTAAGGCACTGGACTCCCACATGACTGACCAAGATTCAAGTCCCAGACCTAGCAGATTAAAAATCACTCTGGGCATGCTTGTGTGTGTGCCCAAAATCACAAGAGAAGAAGAAATTATGGTATGGCCATTCTCCCTGGGGCATGATGTCTCACTTTCCCTCTCACTGTTTCTGTCTCTCTGGCAAGCACACATACCCAATGGCAAAAAAACTTAAAAAAAACAAACAAAAAAAGTAGAGTGTGTGTACATGTTTGTGTGGGTGTTGGGAGATTTGCTTTTCTATTGTTCAACAAATTTAGCATCTTTATAAAAACAACAAACATCATGGAGCATGCTCCACATGGGAATGATGTGGCTGACAGACTGCAAACACAACACATCTGGGGGAACTGAACAGCTGATCTTTAGGTGAGGACAAGAGACTCGATCTGCCCATGTGAGATTTCCTGCAGTTGAATATGTGAATGAGTACAGTTCTTTGTTGATTTAACTCATTATCTTTTTGTTGCTATTAACTTTTCATTTGAAAAAATTATAGAGTCGCAAGAACGGCTACAATGATACACAAAAGGCCATGTATATATCGCCCAGCTTCTCCTACGGTGACATCTTATATACACACATCACAGCATCAAAACACGGAAATCAACATAGGACCAGTACAACTTACTGGACCATGGTCATTACTGGGATGTCACCAGTTCTGAGATGCAGTCATTTTCTTTTACGTGTATATCATTATGTATAATCATATGACATTTATCACATATCTAGGTGTGTATAACTATGACCACATTCAAGATTCGGAACTGTCCTATCACTACCAAAGAACTGTGGCTTTTATCGAGAGGTGTTAGAATCAGGCACTGGACATGTAAAACATGAAAGAAGTTCAGGCCGAGTCTGGCCAGCGTTTGCTTTCTACAGTGCTGTTGGAAAAGTCATGATGTATAAGTATGTCTTGACTTGTCCAACAACCCAATATATTGGAAAAACAAATAAAAATTCCTTTCGTAGCTTGGAATGACCGACATATATGGGCCAAATTTCTTAGCCCTGGCTGGCAAGATACTTTGTACCCATCAGGATGAGCTTCAGTAAGGAGCAGTCCCCGAATCTCTGTATCTTAAAACAATTCAGAATCACCGCTCGCTTACACGTCAGATCCACCCCAGGTGACGACCCAT